AATTTGTTCCTGATCATCACAAGGATGTTAGTTGAATGCAGAAGTTCATAGTAAGTGACTATGTAGGGACTGGAGACAATTTATACTATCTGTAACTCTTGAACTCCAGCTTCCCATCCTTCCACAGTCTCCCTGAAGGATCTTTGCTGTACTAGATTCTAAAGGGAACTAAAACTCATAATTTGGTGTCTGAGAAGGACTCTAATGTGTTATTCTCATGCATTTAAAGACAGGCAATAAATGCATTTTCAGTCATCAGCAAGAAGTTTACTCCATGGTAGATTTCACCTAGCTCCTCAGTGAATTCCAGAATGTGGAGAAAGCTTCCTTTGGGAACCTGGAAAGCTATTAACCACCACTGTCTGTTGTCTTAGTTTTATGAGTGGGTAGGCCACAAGACTCCCTGTGAGATAGCTCAGTGATGCTGAGAATATGTCAAGAAAGTAGCCAACTGTGAGGCAGTAAATGTCTAAGCACCAGATCTTTCCTCAGTAGAACTCTAAAGGGACAGAATGATTTATATCATAATAAAAAGTAATAGTTGTGTCTTATGTTGGTTTTATATGCTTTGAAGTTGATTTATATTAAATGGGATGGGGTTTTTTTGTTTTTGTTTGTTTTGGTTTGGTTGGGTTGGGTTTGGTTTTTTGAGACAGGGTTTCTCAATGGAAGAGTCTTGGCTGTCTAGGAACTCACTCTGCAGACCAGGCTGACCTTGATCTCACCGAGATCAACCTGCCTCTGCTTCTCAAGTGCTGTGATTAAAGACTTGGGCCACCACTGTCAACTTTAATAAATACGATGTTTATGATGCCTATTCAAATCATTTTCTGACCACCATTTTGCCACATTAGTTTGCTGATCTCTTAGTACAGGGACTGTTTATGTAATATTGCAGAACCCGAGTCCAGAAAATACTGAGCTCATGGGGGCTTCATGAAAGCCATTACTATGTTTAAGAATGTTAACAGGGCTGACTCTCCTCTCTGAGAGGAAATCATGAATTTCTCTGACCAGAAGTGGAATTAATGACTTACTAGGCAGACTTACTCATGTTTTCATGGCTTACCTATTAAAAAACAAATGTCAAAAATCCAGATATTGGAATCTGAAGACAGGTAACATCAGCCATAAAGTGCTGAAAACTATAGGCCCTAGGGCTTCTGAAAGGATTAGGTGCCTGTGAGTAAATAGCCAATTGATTGCCTCCTTCACAGCAGATTCTCCAAAATCTGAACTAACATTAAAGCTATTTTACCTAGGAGGAAATCTAGGCATGGAGGCGCTCTGGGAATGGAAGGTTTTGTTTTGTACCCTGTGCTTTTCTGGTTGTCTCTAGATAACTCTAAGGAAGATGTGATCTCAGTCACTGTGTGTGGAAGTATGAGCAATGCTTCATATTCTCTTCTCAGTCCATCTTTTTGGTGGTTTTCTGTTGATTGAGATTCAGGGAGAAACAAATGTGGCTCTGAGCAGAAACAGCTCGGTATTCCATGGGAGATAAGCACATCTTTGTCATTAGAAGGATGCTGGTCTTTGCTTAGAGGTCTATCAACAGAACATACTCTTATCTCTGCCTTCAGTTTTCTCTGTTTGCTGCCTTATTTATGTCATGACCAGAAGTAAGATTGATGCCTGTATGTGGGAAAGGGCCTGGGAAAGAGGATAGTGTTTGGGAAGACATGGCTCCCTGACAGAGAGGCCTGTGTGATTCATAGTCAGAATGAAGACTTGCCCCATACAGTGTGTTGAGAGCCACAGCCAACCAGAGTGTCTTCTCATTGTCCTTCAGGTCAGCACCATGATGCATGCTCAAGTCTTCATTTCAGGCCTCATATTACTTCTCCCAGGTAAGTTATTCAATAAACTGGGGAATGCTGAGGAGTCTAAAGTAGGGAGAAGTGATGAGCATCCTTGAGACTTTTGGGTTATGGTTCATGTAGTGAGCAGAGAATCAGGATAAATTGTAGCTCCAAAGAAATTCCTTAACCTGTATGAATTTCATAATGTATGGATAAATAAACATGATTCCTAGACAATGTCAGGGAAGAGTACCCCACCAAGTTATTTTTAAAGAAATAAAAACAATATATTAGAAAAATTTAGAGTATTAATTCTCCACTTCTCCACCTCCCCCCATTTTATATCACAGGTTTCGTGGATTCTGCTGTAGTAGTGAAGGCGGTGGTGGGAGACCCTGTCACACTGGCATGTAATTACTCAACAAATCTCGGAGTCAATAACACTTGCTGGGGCCTTGGCGAATGTCAATCTTTTTATTGCGCAAGAAGACTTATTATGACCAATGGATATCGAGTCACCTATCAGAGGAGCAGCAGATACCAGCTACAGGGACCTATTTCAGAAGGAAACGTGTCCTTGACAATACAGAATGCTGTTCAGAGGGACAGTGGTCCCTATTGTTGTATAGTTAAAATTTCTGGATCTTTCAGTTATGTGACCTATTTGCTGGAAGTTGAACCAGGTAAGCGTTCTTTCTTTCCTTTGTTACTTCTTGCAAGTGAACTGAGTCCTCTGTTTGCCAATATTTTCTGTTTTCCTCTAAGAAGGAAACTGAAGGTTGTTGTAAATATGTTTGTGTGTATGTGGAGAGTTCCACTCCCTGTCTGCTCTGACTTGGGCTTTTGGAATAGGGCTCACATCATGTCACGCAGTTTGTTGCTTGAACAATGGAAATGTCCTGATAGAATTAGGTTCCCTCCACCACCTGTTCATTTGTCACTCTGCAGTGTGATCACATAAGCAGTGGTTAGTCCACAGTCACTCTGCAGTGTGATCACATGAGAGTAGTTAGTCCATAGTCACTCTGAAGTGTCGTTACAAGAGCAGTGGTTAGTCCATAGTCAAGCTACAGTGTGATCTCATGATCACCAGGAGTTTGTCCATGAATGATGCCGACACACAATTCCCTACAATGAATTTTTTAGAATGAGAAGGCTAAGATCAGACCTCCAGGCAGGAGGGAGAGCATTAGAAAGAAACAATACGATCTATGATGGGGTATGGAAAGGATTCCAGAGAAGGGTGGGGTCTATTCCTTACAATCTGGACAGGAGATTCATTAAGAGCAGGAATGGTGGAGGGGTAGAGAGAGCTGCCATTATAGGAATGGCAGGGCAGACAGTGGACAGCCTACAAAATAATCTTCTCAGCATTGTTATGATTCTACATGAGAGAGACCTTAACTGGTTGGGTCCAAACAATGATGGGAGAGAGATGGATGAGCCATGCAAACACTGCTGGTTGGAGAGTTATATTGGGGTATGGTCATGGGAAAGAAGTGACGATAAGGAAAAAGGTGAGGGGAAAATGGAGTGCAGGGTAGCCTTGTGGGAAGAGACAGGAGAGAGAGAAAGAGGGGGAGAGAAAGGCAGAGAGAGAGACTTGGAAAGGAGAGAAGAAGAGGGAGAACAGGGAGAGCAGGTGGGGTCCTCCACCTTTAAAATAGGCGGCACAGTTCATAAACACAGACCACAGGAAGACAGGGTACTGCCTGTGTGGCTGGGCGGGCATGTGTGTGGATGCTATCATTCTTCCTGTTTTTGGTTATTTATAAAAGGTGAGGAGTTAGGCATGGCAAGTTAGGGCAATGAAGGTGTCTTGGTGTCCAGACTACTTCCAGCTGATCTCGGGATATTGGAATCTTGGGAACCTGAGAACTTGGGAGTGGGCCACATCCTGGATTAGCTGGTATCCTCAACAGTGTCCAGGCTCTATAGAACTGTCCAGTGTCTCTTAAGCCTGGTGATGTGTCAGCCCAGCAGATGACAACCTTAAGTTTAGGGAGGTAGTCCTGGTGAGTGAGGGAGGTTTCAAGATCAGGGGAAAGGTGGGTAGGCTTTAGTTGCTTGGGTCCTGGTAACAGAGGGAGACTTGCCTCTCACCTGTTTGAGGGTAATCCAAGTTGACTTCCTGGAACTTACAAGAATTCCTTAAGTATGTGAAAAGTTAAGGTTTAGAGATGGTTTTAGACATCCTAGTATGCCCATCGTTTGTAACCTGTACTGAAATTCACACTGTAGAAACCACAGTATGCTCATGCCAGAAATGATTCTAGTTGAGAGCATTGACATTTATTTTTCCATCTGGAAAACTGAGAGATGTTTTTATCACAATGAAAAGTACCCTTCAGCCTATAGTTAGAGGGAATTTAAAATCCTGGTTATATATTGATGATATAGTGTTAGTACTCTGACTGAGCTGGGTCAATAGTTATCAGAGTTTCATTCATGACTATTAAGAATATGGACTTTCAGAGTCTTAATATAACAGTAGCATAATGAGTGAGAAAGATCTGGGAACATGTTTCATCCACATTTACAATTTTTTTTAATCCTCAGACATGAAAATTTGCATTTACCCACCTTAAGTCACTTTCTTAGACCCTGAAACATTCTTAGATCCTCACCCTTTAAGTTTCACAGCTTAAAACACCTTTTATTTAAAATACCAGGAGGTACAGGTGGCTGACCACTGAGAGCAGTCACTGCAAAGCAAGGTCCTTTAAACAAGGAAATGGTAACAGTTACATTAAATGTTTTGTGAGTTTTTTGAGTGTGGTAGCAAGATGAACTGTTTCTAGACTTGGTATTGGCTCTAGGAGAGTGAGGCCTGTGACCTGAATTTTACAGGGAACTGAGAAGGCAGCTGATTCCTTGGTTGTTGCTGTTAAGTTAGCCTGTAGTGATATTTATGATATATTAAAAGCTTGCCTGAGGATTCAGAACACTAAGAGGAGTTTAAAGCTATGAGATCAGGCAGTGTTGATACACACCATTAACTGGAGCTGCCTGAAGCTAGGAGATGGTAGTACACAACTTAAATTTGGGACTCGGGATTAAGAGATATAGGCATCTCTTTGAGTCCAAGGCCACCTAGAGATACGTGAGATTGAATCAGTCTAAAAGAGTAACAGGTCACAGACCATGAATCCCAGCACTACTGGGGTATAAAAGATGGAAGCAAGGTCTTCGTAGTCAGTATGAGTCAGTCAGTCTCCAGCCACCCTGAGGAGAGGCAGTCGTGTGAAGCTTGATGAAGAGCAGCTGCATGGCTCAGCCATTCGGTCTGAGGTAGTGGTAAAAAGCCAGTGGCCAACTGTTTTGATTGTCTGATACTCAGCTTGAAATTTGAACCCCAGTATCAGTGTCTCGGTCTTTTATTTGTTTTTGTTACACTGGCCAAACTACTAGTCAGTCAAACAGCATCAGACTTCTGAGAAGGACAAACTTTACCTGAGTTATTGATTAAAAATGACAGACATTTACTGGCTGCCTACCCCGGGGGCCTCCATGGTCACTTTGTTTAGGCAACTGTGAATATCCCAGTGTCTTGTTTTGTTCAGGGTCTGAAGAAGGTCTTTGCAGCAATTGAGGTGAAAGGCAGGTTTTCTCAGTGTCTGGTGCTCCCAATTTTGAAGCCAGTTCCAGGTGGAGGTTCTTCTGTGCCCATCCATCTTCTTTGAGGAAATAGGAGTGCTTCCAGGACCTGGCACTTGTCTCTATTACAAAAAGCTTTTTAAGTAGACATTTTAAATGCCATATTTTGCAGATCTCTGGGCATTTGAGGACTGTCTGTCTATTAGGTATATCTCAGGGGACATTTCATTTCTAGTTATTTGCTTGAAGCTTGACTCTGAAAACTTACAGGGAACTAGGTAAGGCTTAAACTTGTAGTTAATTACATCAGTATCCAGCATAACTAGAATTAAATACCTTGATAATTTATAAGATGCCTCTAATATTCCTCAGCAGTCTACACTAGGTCAGCAGCTTCTATAAGACTAGGACTTTACAGGTTTAGCCCTAAAAGTAATGATTTTTGAATTGAAGATCTTTTAGTAATAAAATAAGAACCAAAACACAACCATTTGTGGGATAGTAACAAAAGAAGTTTTTACAAGTTTGTACAAGTAACAAAACAAGTTTGTACCTGAGAAGGCAAGGAAATGTGATGACAGAAATATCCCGTGGCCTAATGGGAACAGGAGAAAGGGGGCTTGTGAGGTGGGGTGTGGCCCATGAGCAGGGACTAAGCAGAGGCAAGCACTGCCCTTGACAGGTAATGTGGGCCTCTGCCCAAATACCCAACACAATGTAGCTTATTTATCCAATATATGTTGCCACTTACTTAAATTTTTGGTGTTGAGCAATTGGAAAAGACATAAATACTTAGATGTAAATCTCTAAATTGCCTTTGTTAATCTGAATAGATTTTTTTTTTGGTTCGTTGAGACAGGGTTTCTCTGTGTAGTAATGAGTATCCTAGGAGTCATTCGGCTCACCAGGCTGGCCTCCAATTCAGAGATCCACCAGCATCTGCCTCCCAAGTGCTGGGATTAAAGGCATGTGCCACCACCACCTGGCTTAAATAGATTTTTTAACCTTAAATTTTAGCACCATATAGAGTACATTTTATTTTGTTGTTGTTGTTGTTGTTTTTGTTTTGATACAGGGTTTTTCTGAGGCTTTGGAGGCTGTCCTGGGACTAGCTCTTGTAGAACAGGCTGGTCTCAAACTCACAGAGATCTGCCTGCCTCTGCCTCCCGAGTGCTGGGATTAAAGGCGTGTGCCACCAACACCTGTCTAGAGACTTGCTACTTTCTTAATCTAGGACACATAATGACCAGCTCATTAGATCTTAAAAATTCAAAGGGAAAACCAGTGGACCCTGTGCAAAATGAAAACCACAAATCTACAATATTACATTTTCTTCCTTCTTTACTTCCTTCTTTCCTTCCTTCCCTCCATCCCTCCATCTATCCTTCCTTTTTCCTTCCTTCCTGTTTTGTTTTTTTTTTTCTTTCTAGACAGGGTTTCTCTGTGTAGTCTTGGCTGTCCTGGAACTTGCTCTGTAGAAAGGCTGGCCTTGAATTTACAGAGAACCACCTACCTCTGCCTGGAGAGTGCTGGGATAGGAGTGTTTCAACATCACTAGGCTTTACATTCTCCCTATTGATATAAGGATATCTTTGCATTGACTAAAAGAGTAGACACATGAGAATTTCCTGACTTCTGCTACTGTTCGTAACCTTTCCCTAAAGGGTATACATGGAAAGCAGAGATCCACAATGAAAATAATCTATCTATACTTTTAAATTAAGAACATTTTTCTCTAATCTCTCAACTTTTATTCTTGGTTATTAATTCATCCAGTCATTCACTTTTATGATTCAATTGGTTTTAAGAACTGTATTATTTTTCTGTGACTATGTGTGAATGATGAGTATGTGATGGGTATTCATACTAGATGAATTTGTCATAGGGCAAACTTGTTGGGTTGGTACACTCTTTACATATATTTATGTGAGTTCTAGGAATGTAAGTCAGCTGTCCAGTCGTCCAAGTCAAGTGCCTCTACCCAGTGAACCACTATTGTGGCTCCCAATTCTTGACTGATTTATTGATTTTGAGACTCAGCCTTCCTTTGTAAACCAGGCTGACCTGGAAATTCTTGCCCATACCTTAACTCCCTAAATTTGGGATTGCAGGAATATGCAGCCCCACCTTTTTATATATGTATGTATGTAGACAGCTTTCAGGAAGAGACATAAGGTTTCCAGTGCCTTCCACAGGTGTAAAATAGTATTTTTTTTTGGTTTTTCGAGACAGGGTTTCTCTGTATTGCTTTGGAGGTTGTCCTGGAACTCACTCTGTAGACCAGGCTAGCCTCGAACTCACAGAGATCCGCCTGCCTCTGCCTCCCGAGTGCTGGGATTAAAGGCGTGCGCCACCAACGCCTGGCCTAAAATGGTATTTTTTACCTGGCTGAAGTTAAATAACTCTGAACTTCAAGGGTACTCACTCACAATAGAATAAACCGTATGCACACGCACGAGAGGGAGAGAGAGGGAGAGAGAGGGAGAGAGAGGGAGAGAGAGGGAGAGAGAGGGAGAGAGAGGGAGAGAGAGGGAGAGAGAGGGAGAGAGAGGGAGGGAGAGGGAGGGAGAGGGAGGGAGAGGGAGGGAGAGGGAGGGAGGGAGAGGGAGGGAGAGGGAGAGGGAGGGAGAGGGAGGGAGAGGGAGATCAATTAAAAAAAAAACCTCTTATGGGATGTGATTTTTCTAGCGTGCCTGAAGCCTTGGCTTCTGTCCCTAGAACTGCAAACACACTAATCAAGTAAAGGCTGTGGTGTAGCTTGGGAAGGCACTTGTCTAGCTCACATTCCTGCCTAAAACACTGAGATTAGATTTCCAGCACCAGCATAGGGATAGGCATCATATGGCATCATAGCATAAAATAACCAATTTCAATTCATTAATTGAAGGTTTTAGGAGGCTCAAAAATCGTTAACGTGTCAATGCTTACAGAGCGATTCCATAAGTGACCCAGCACTCTGATTCCTCCTTAACAACAGGACTACATTTTCCCCTGGTTTAAACACACAGAGCTTCCTCTCCTGTGGTCCTAGGCCCCTCATCAGTTCTTTGGACTTTCCAATCTACCTGTAGAGAATAAGGCCCCAGAGCAAGATAAGCAAAGCTCCTGAGCTGTTGATTCTTTCCTGGATTTGTTGTCTTAGTGATCTTCTGACTAGATTGTTCCCATGCTTGCTTTTCTTTTACCTCAGAGATTTCTGGTCTGCAAGGAGGTTTTGTACTGTGTTCAGGCCTCTGTCCATACATTAGATTGGTCAGAAAATTAACCAGGCCAGGTTATAAATATAACCACTCACTGTTGTGAATACTTTTATTGTATCAGAACCACACCCACCCTTGCTATGTTGTCATCAGTGATTTTCAAAAAGAAATGGATGCTTGCTCATGAACATGGTGAGTTTTGGTTCCTGAGCCCAAGACACTTAACTATCTGACCCTCTATAGGAAAGGGGCTTGAGGGCCATTAAGAAGACTCAGTGGGGAAAGGTACCTACTGCTAAGCGTGATGACCCGAGTTCAGTTTCTGGGTCCACATGGAGGAAACAGAGACCAGACACCTGATATCTACATTTGGGACATCACACTAATAAAGGAATAAATACATGCATAGAATTTAAGGGGGAAATTCTATATCTGCTACTTCCCTACACATTATAGGAACACTACAGTTTTTTTCTTTATTTCAAGGTAAACATACACAGCATGAAGGGATTACACTGTATCCCACATAAAGAAGGGTTTTCAAAGCAATTTTTCTTGAATGCTGAGCTATTATTTTGTAGTTAGCAGAAGTAAAATTGAGTGAGATAACTTACAGGAGTTATGTCTATTGACACTGAGAGTATGAGTCCTGGTACTAATTTGCCTTAGGTCCTGACTAGGAACATAGCATACTAAGACCATGGGTACCCATTTGGATGATTGGAGTCCTTAGGATGCTGTTGATTTATGAACTGTAGGTTGAACCTGCCTGAACCAAACATTCTAACTCTTCAGAGATTCAAAATCTAGAACCTTTTAAGCATGGACTTGGTAAAACTCCTAAAATTCAACACCATAAAATGATCATGTGCAGGATTATCAAAAGTTTAAAACTTTCCATTAATATACACATATAAATTGCATGCAAATGAATGCTACATCAACCATGTTTATACTTTAGGATCATTTATAAGACAATATCTATATACAAATATTCAGAATTGTTAAAAAGATTTAAATTCTGATATCAAACATTTTTGGATACAGGGTATTCACCCTGTCTGTCTTAGAGAGAAAGACAATGTCTACTCTCTACCCAAATGTATAAATCCCATTTGTGTTTGGGCTGGTTTGGAATCTGCTGTCTAAGATGTTGGGTTATATGTTGTATCCTCTTGGGACTGACTGTAGTAAAGATGCAGGGCTTGGAAACTGGATTAAGACAGAAGCCAGTGCGAACAGTTACAGATTCCCACATGCTCCCCCGTCACAGATGCTTAGACATCTGAGTACCTGACAGTTGTCATTTAAACTGTCCTTAGAAACATGGGCTCTGTTCTCATCTCCATGTCATCAGTGCAGCTGCCTCCTATTGGTGAGCTGTCCCCACAGCCCTGCCCTGCCCTGTAGTAGTTGTTCAGTGACAAGGAGAGAAGTTCAAGCGAGGTACCTCTCTGGGGACAGCCTCTCACTGGTGCTACAACAGAAGCTCTTGCCCCTTCTTGCTGACTCATCCTTGTTTCATTTTTATTTCCAAATCCAGAAAGTACAACAAGTCATTCAACAAGTCCCACAACTACAACAAGACCCATAACAACAGGAAGACCCACAACTACAGGAAGAGCAGCAACAGGAAAACCCACAACAGGAATACTCACAACAAGTATACTCACAGCTACAAAAAGGTCCACAACTACAGTGAATTCCACAAATGTGTCAATGAGACCCACTCATGAACCAGCATCACCCAGAGTCTCCACCTTGACTCCTACAACACCAGTACATATGGAAACTTACAAACCAGGTAATTCCCAGTGTAGCTCAGGCCCAAGAGGCTCTCTTACTAGTGGCTATAGTACACAGTCACCAAGTCAAGTCAGAGTATACATGGGTGAAGTGTTCATAGCTGGTTCCCAACAACAGCTTCACAGAGACTATAATTTTCTACTCTGGAAATACATTCACCTTCTGCTGTGCAAGAACTTGTAGAGATAGAGACACCATCTCTCTATATCAGACTACCAGGGGATTCACTACTGACCAGATTTAGGTGGATCATTGACTAAGATACTTGAGCATGGAGGGTGGGCATCTGATTTAGGTTGGTATGAGATTTTGGTGAGAAATTAAGGATTGACTGAGACCCTTGTACCTTTGCATTATTGTGAAATTGGTCCATGCAGCTGAGGCCATAGTTCAGTGAAGCTAACACTTAGCATTTCCTGAACACTAGGCTGCATGTTTCATGCTTTGTGATACAGAGTTCAATTCTCAGACAATTATGTCCTATATAGCTGTGATCTGTCCCTATTTTATAGGGACAGGAACTGACAGACTCAGAAAGTTCATGGTAGGGTTATTAAGACAGAATGTGGCTTAGTCTCTGTCCCTGTTCCCTTCAGTTGGCAGCTGGTTATTCTATCTCCAGGGTCAGAACACCTGCCCTGAGCATGATGTGGAGAGGGTTTCTACTGTTCCCACACCTTAACTGGAAAGGCATCATGACACCACCCTATAAAAAGACAGTGAATGCTTATAAAGATTTACTTTAAGGACCTTTTAGCTTATTCCGGTAGTCTGAAAAGTGGAATATGTATACTTTGTTAGGATAAAACACACACACACACACACGCACACGCACACACATCCAATTCAAAGGCTTTAGGAACTCATATATCATGTTCATACTTTTGAGTGATGCCTTGTAGTTCATACATCTAAATGTTCAAAAGTTGCAGTTTAGTGAATCTCCTAACCCACCCTAACATGTTATGACACATCAACTCTGTGGGTGACTATTACAGATGTAGAAAAATATCTAAATTTGTATGGTTACAATTTCTCCTCTTGTTGAGCAGATTGGAATAACTCTGTGATATCCTCGAATGACTCTTGGAATAATTACACTGTAAGTATATTCCTCCCCAACCAGCCATGCTCTCTTGTATATTGTCTAGGAAACAATTTGTAGATAAAGATGTCTATAAAATTAGTTCATAGGTATTTGCTTAAAAAAGAGTCAGATATAGTGCTATCTTCCTTATTCTCAGGGCTCAGGAATTTAATAGAAAATTTCAGAAGTTTGAGGCCAGCATGGACCATTAGGCAAAGTGGACTATACAGTAACACCCTGTCTCAAAAAATGTAGATGAGTAAATTATTAAATATATAATAATAAAAATAAAGAGTTACAAAATTGAGTTTGGGACTGTAGAGATGGCTCAGAGTAACAGCACTGGAGGCTCCTCCAGAGGTCATGAGTTCGATCAACAACAACCACATGGTGTTCACAACCATCTAAAGTAAAATCATGTACCCTCTTCTGGTGTGCAGGTAAACATGCAGGTAGAATACTATATATACTGAATAAATTAAATATTTTTTTAAAAAAGGTGTTTGATGTTTACAAAATATATTTAAATTCAAGATATTCATTAACATTCCCACTGACTATTCTCTGTAGAGCACACTGGTGATATTTTGTTTCACACAAACAAATCACCACAGAAGGTGATTAAGCAGACAAAAATCACATTCATAATGTATGAGCCCATATTAAGTATGTGGTTACATTTTTGACTGAAGTAACGCCCATGCAGTCACCTCAACTAACACAGAACAGGTTTCCAACATGGTCAAAGACACTGATTTCACATTGTCTTGGAGTTCCACTGCCTTTACCACCTCAGATCCTTTAATCTTCCTGAATATTCCAGACTAGCCACAGGCTGGTAACGATGAAGCTCTAGTCCTAGAGTCTAGGTTAATGTCAAGCATGTGCTTTCTCTTTCTCTCACTCCATGACTATTGTGTTTACTGCTGTTTATTTATTGCCACTCCTGTTTTATTGTTTCCTTAGGAATCAATCCCTTCACTGAATCCACCAGTGAAAATGACTAAGGACATGCCTCTTGGCTACGTCATTGCTGCCTTCATGGTGATGCTGTATGTGGGTGCCCTGGCTCTCATGCGTAAGTAATTTCTTATGAATTTCCCCAAAAAATGAGACCCAGGGTTCTATGACTGCCTTTAAGCAAGTGCACATGCCACATGGGCTTTTAGTTCCCATGCCTTCCCTATCTCCAGATTCAAGACACACATGGTAAGCCACCTACTCCCCACAGGATGTGTTAGGACCCACACCACTCTGTGGCTGGTTTCTAGTATTTGATGAGTGTTCTGCTCAGTGATCTTACACCATTGCTACTAAGTCTGCAAATATTCTTCATCTGTAAAACTCAAGGAACATAAATACTACTGAAGTTTTCAGCTGAAACCATTCATTTATTTATGTATTTATGTATTCATTTATTCATTTTGCATCCTCAACGTGACTCTAGTTTCCCTTCCCTCATCTCCTCCATTCCCTTTCCATGCTGCCCATCTTCCAACTCCCCTTTCAATCCTATCTATGCTTCCTCTGTTTCTGTTCAGAAGGCCAGCTTTCCTATGGATATCAACAAAGCAATGCATACCATGCAGTGGGTTAATACCATTTTCTGTTTTAATTTTGGTGCCTTCATTTTTTAACTTTGGGTTTTTGTTTTTTGCTGTGTGATCATGTAGTCTGGGCTGGCATTGCACTTACTAGGTAGCTTAGGTTGACCTTCTTCAGCATCCTCCTGCCTCCAACATCCAAGTTCTGGACTCACAGGAATAAGCTGCAGTGCTTGGCAACATTGGTTTCCTAACCCTGTACTTTGTCTTTCAGCTGTTTCCATTAAAGGGGAAACATTCCATTTTCCTTAAAAAATTAAATACTATGACACAAGAGATTTTTGAATAGGCTTGACACTTTTAGGTCACTTTAAGACCTCTGATGAGTTCTCTCCTAAACTTGGGTCTCACTTGTTCCCCACAATCAGAATGTGGAATATTCTGGGATGTATTTAGTAGAAGATGCAAACTAGACATTGATGGGAAAACCACCTTACAGATGCTAGAACAGACTATTTGTGGGTGATGCCCAATCCTACATGGTCCTTCCCATGATTTGTACAACTGTACACAGGGGTTTTTCTGTATCTAATTCATTCCCTGTGTAGGAACTTCAATCATGGACTTTACAAAACATTAGGCATGAGCCCCTTACAGACCTGTTTCATTTGACTGGGCAGAAAATGGGGAATAATGATATGCCTGTCTCTTGTCTCTAATTACACAAGGCTTTAGTCCCAGCACTTGGGAGACAGAAACAACAGGACAATCTTCCTACATTGGAAATTCTAGGCTACCAAATGCTAACCAAAGAATTCCTATCTTGAAGCTTAAAAAAATAAAGAATATCCCTATGAAACTTCAGGATGTTTCTTTCTGGCTATTTAGAACTTGAGTATCTGAAAAGATTATTTAAGCTGCCTCTAGGTTCATGTGCCTATTATCCCAGCATTCCAAGTGTGTGGTTAACTTTGGTACATATCAGATGGTGTCTATAAGGTAGAATTACTAAATACGACTATTGTGTTCTGTTCTTTAGTCTAAAGTTGTTCATTCTCAAGGACTTGTTCTCTGGCAGTCCATTAATAAGTTCTAGTCTTTTGTTTGTCTCAGTGAACAATAATTAACCAATGCCACTCTAGCAAATTAGGCCATATGGATGGATATAGCTGATAATGTGTGGAAAGAAGAACCTTCCTGCAAGGTACAGGAAGGGATTACCCAAAGTTACAGGTGATGCTTCCATCATAAACAGAAACTCTATCCTTGATTAGGAGAACATGAGTGATTGTGATGACATGTTCATATTTCCCTTCAATTTCTTCCACCTTTTCCCACCCCCCTTTAGGGTGCATCCTTATCTAAAAGAAGTAGGCGTTTCTGAGGTAAACTGGCATGGATTTTGTTGATTCTTTTCAAACTAACTGTTTTGAGAGTATCTCTCTATGCTCTTTTTCTTATAAATCATTTTTTACTAATTTATTCATCAGTTGGTTGGTTGATTTGAAACAGGGTCTTATAAACCATTCTTTATTAATTGATTCATTGATTGGTTGGTTGATTTGAAACAGGGTTCTTTGTGTGGTACAGACTGGCCTGGAACCTGAGCTTTTGCAGCTTTTGCCAGGCTGAACTCACAATCCTCCTGCATCAGACTCTTTCACTCTGGGATAACAGCTATGTTCCACAATGCTTGGCCCCGTTCTGTACAACATAAAGTTTAATGTGTTCATTTCTTGTTACCCTCATTTCTCAGAGATACATTCGCATTCTGCATTTCTCTGCATTCAGGGTTGGACAGGAACAGAAGCTCCTTTATGCTAATCTCTTTCAGATAGACACTGAGTAGTAAGTTTGCTTCCTGGAGCTGGTATTTATTGAAGGATTTTCCCTGACCCCCTATTGTTTCATCCAGCATTTTTTTTCACTGAGTACTCATTCAATTAAAAACTGAAGTACTTATGAAGCATATAAGCAAGAAGAAAGTTCCTTTGAGGAACTTTTAGGGAAGTATGCTGGAGATGACACGGTTAGGTGGTGGGCTGTTTCAGGGAGCCTCAAGGGAGCAGAAGACTTAGAGGAAGATGACTTCTAAGGTGCCAGGACTGTCACAGAACTGTGGTATAACCAGTGTCTCCACACTCCACACCAGGCCACTTCCCTCACTACACTGGTGTCTCCACTGCAGGCTCCTCAGTTTACTGTACTTGGGGAGCTCTGTTAGTCTCCCCCATGCAAATCACCTATACCTGCTCTGTGCCAAGCTTTTACAACTATCTAGTCTCCTTAATTTGTCTAAAGATTGGCTGCACACTGAGCCAATATTTTCTATCAAAATCAACGTCCTTCAGGCTGCCATCTCTAGACTTCCCTATGTAATAATAGGGGTCTCACGCAGGTCACCAGGCAATCCTAAGTCTTTCTAAAGTGGCACAGTGAAAAATATATACATGAATCATCCAGTTCCTTGCCTAGTCCAAAATGCACTCCCTGATAAGTTATCTCAGATTTCTGTCTCTAGATCTCCTTCTTCTGGGTTTTATATTAGTATCTCGAAGGACTCCAATATGAACTGCTTTTTTTAAAAAAATAATAATCCTCATTTAGTCTGATGCTTTTTATAATAGCAAAAACAGCGATAAAATAGCTTTTCCATGACTTAACCAAGATGCTTTGTGAAATGCTCGGAGTCTGTGTTGTGCTGAATCAAGCTCCAGGAGTCCCAGGCACAAATCATGAGTCAGTGTTCTGCCCAGATCTGAAAGGTGATCTCTTGTTCATTCAACATTTCCTCTCTCTCTCTCTCTCTCTCTCTCTCTCTCTCTCTCTCTCTCTCTCTCTCTCTCTCTCTCTCTCTCTCTCTCTCTCTCTCTCTCTCTGCAGGTTAGTAGCACCTGTGGAACCTTGGTGAAGACAATGTCTTGGTGAAGACAATTCAATACCGTCCTTTCCCTACACCATGAGTACCAGTGGTCCTCTGAGGGAACTTCTGCCTGAGATTGGAAAGACAACAAGTTTTGACAGCACAATCAACCTTTATAGCTCCAGGATTATTTTCTGTGTCTATTTCTCCAGCAGTGGTGGAGAGGGTGACATCCAGTATCATCCTATTTCTTACCTCAGCATTGACTCAGGCTCTCCACTCACTGCAGCACATTTGCTCAAACATGAACATTTTAGAATGCTGTTTAGAATGCTGTGTGTCCTTTATGTCAATAAAGTCATTGTTAATACAGGAAATATACTCCTGCCTTGGTTATTCAAACCATTAAGCGAAGAACAGGATTGAAAGGTTAAAAAAAAAAGAGTGAGAGTGGTGTGAGAGGCATCCTGAATTTAGAAATATTTCTCAATCATTTCATGTTTTATCTGTTTTAGTGTAATATGAAATGTCACTATCCCTCCCCTCCCCAAGGGGTACAATCATGGAAACAAGCAGGTATTAATTTCCCTCATAGATAAATAGAAAGGATTCTAATGTTACTAACAGAATTGGTCATGCTTTCTCATAGCTCTGGAAATATAATACATTATTATGTGGTTAATCTCAGAATAAGGATGGGTGTTTCAATCAGGAGTTGTTTCCATGTTGAGTATAACACAGGCCTACATTAGGGGAAGAAAATAGTAAACCAAGGGATTGAGGTCCTTAGTGCCTGCTATTTCCCTGCAGTCTGACTTGAGGCTCTGTGTTCCTGGACTCACCTGCTGGGCTCTGAACTAGGTGCTAGAAGGAGACAATGCAGAAATGAAGGGGAAAGGAGGGAGCAGGACACAGGCTCTGCCTGAGAGAAGCCCTAGTCCAGGTGTGACAGAGTTTGGAAATATCACTGGTTCATTCAGTTTTTAAATGTATTGTCTTCATATCATATTTATATTTAAATTTATTTCAGAAGACAAAGCATTTTTTTCATAGTGGATGAGTGTGTCCCAATCAATGAAATATTGGTTTCGCTAAGATTTATGAAAGTCTGTTCTGTAGGGGTGAGCCCACAAAACTCTTTACACCCATAAGGGCGGACATAAGGAAATTTAGTACAGGTGGGGATAAAAGGAAGTGAAAAAAAGGAAGCTCTCTTTACCTATGTTAGCCTGCCACGTTTTCTGTCCCGCAGCTTATATGTAAATAAATATATTATATCCCATATTGCATTGGTCTTCTGCTTCACTGTTCTGCTGGTATCTTCATTGTCAGCCCAGTTGTTGAGGAGAGCAGAGTTGCAAGAGGGTAATAATTTCTATTTCAGTTTGAGTATACCCTGACTACAGTTAGCGCCCCATAGCCGAATGGAATGCTGGATCCTAGTCTACATTCCATTACTGTTTGACAGAGTTCAAGGATATAAGTATGTGTCTCATTGGGGGTTTGCCAAATGGGGCTTCCCTTTTATGCTCTAAAAATGATTGTATCTAAGCTACAGTGCTTTCTGTTTCTTACATTAGCAGCTATTGCACATCAAAGCTTGGGTTTACCAATGATTACAGTGATTGTAGCTTTGCTAGAAAGATTTGTGAAGATCAGCATGTGTTCTAGTGTGATAAGGCCACTAGAATGGGCCATCCATGTGTGCCCTGTCTTACCTCCTTCCTGATTCCTGTCTGGTGGCTGCAAGATTCAGAGATTGTGATGCCTGCTCTGTTATTCAGTCTTCCTAGAGAGGCACGGAAGACCAGAAGGGGTCTGGAAACCTGTGTGTCTGCATTTCAACATCATGTTAGAATTCAAGAACACGGTTACTAGTGACATTCTGTGAAAGTATGTAGAACTCAGTGCAAAACAGGTCATACTTGTGACTCCAATACTAAGTGTCAATAATAACAATAAGGTAACCTCTCTGTTTACCCCATCTGTTTGCTGTTATCATGTCCACACTTACCTTGGTGGACAGTAGCCCTTACAATGAGTGGTGACCAGTGAGAAACTTGGAGCAGTGAAAGCATTCCAGAGTGCTTGTCCCCACCCTAGCAGATATTGCAGTAATAGCAGATGTTGAGTTACAGCCAAGTCAATGATTTCCATATTAGTACAACCAGGAATCTATTTTGTATGTTGTCTGCCAAATCTTTAAAATAATCATGTTTCTCTGTGACATAGTTACTATCTGTGTTTTTCCTATATTATAGAAAAATCAATTGAAAAAACTGATAGAAAAATACAAGATGGATATTCAATTGAAAAAACTGATAGAAAAATACAAGATGGATATTGTTAATAATGCCATCAATGTATCAGTCTTGTGGATTTTATTACATTTACTTTCAGTCTTAAGCTTTCAGACACCATTGATTCTGTTACATATAACCTACTGTGGACTGCTTCATTACAATACTTAGCGATTATTCTTTTCTTTTTGAGATAGAGTCTCAATGTAATGCCTAAGCTTAGCTAGAACTCCCAATGTAGGCCAAGCTGGTCTCAATGTCTCAAAGATTCTTTTAACTTCAAATTCTGAGTCCTGGCATTAAAATTATGCGGCAACATGCCGATTTTGGCAATTTTAAATTATTGAGTCTTTGGACAGCTTATGGAGTAACAGGATGAGTAGAAGCCTGAGTAGCAGTGGGGCAGCTATAATTTGGGATAGAGCAAGGGGAATGTCTTAGGGTCCATTATTTACATTACAAATGTCTCATGCTTGGTGCACCTCAGGTCTTGGGAAACCTGTCCTAAATTGATTGGTCTGCTGCAGCTGCAGAAACATTGATATGCCTAGAGGCAATCCCAGGGCAGTTTCTATGCCCCGCATTCCACTATTATCAGTAAAGCACATCCAGAGCCCGCCTGCTATCTTCTTTTATTACTTTTTGGTTTTTCGAGACAGGGTTTCTCTGTATTGCTTTGGAGCCTATCCTGGAAACTGTTCTATAGACCAGACTGGCCTCAAACTCACCGAGATCCACCTGCCTCTGCCTCCAGAGTACTGGGATTAAAGGCGTGTACCACCAATGCCAGTTCTCCAACTAATTTCTTATTAGTTCCTTACCACATGGAGGTTATCTGCAGGTTCGTTCCTACTGATTAGGGCAAGCTCAGACAAGGTCATGCTACTGTGTCAGGGGCCTATATCTTGCTGGGTCTTTTCTGCAGCCCGTCATAGCTGCCAAAGCAGGGTTTAGGTGAGGGTCTGGACCATTCACTCTCAGGATTAAAAATTGATTCTAAACTAAACTGGACAATAGTTACATTAGAGAATTAACAGCACAGTTGAAAGCCCTAGAACACAAAAAAGCAAAAACACCCAGGAGGAGTAGACGCCAGGAAAAAAATCAAACTGACGCCTGAAATCAATAAAGTAGACACTAGGAAAACAATACAAATTATCAATGCAACAAAGAGTTGGTTCTTTAAGAAAATCAACAAGATAGGCAAACCTTTGTCCAAACTTACAAAACAGCAGAGAGTGAACACGCAAATTAACAAAATCCAAAACAAATAGAGGGAAATAACAACAGACACTGAGGAAATTCAGAGAATCATCGGGTCATACTTTGAAAATCTGTACTCAACAAAATTCAAAAATTTAAAGGAAATGGACGCTCTTTTGGATAGCTATCACTTGCCAAAATTAAATCAAGAACAGATAAGCAATTTAAATAGACCTATAACTCCTATAGAAATAAAACAGTCATCAAAAGTCTCCTAAGCAAAAAAAAAATCCCAGGTCCAGATGGCCTCAGTGCACAATTCTACCAGAAATCCAAAGAGCAGCTTATACCAATTCTTCTCAAAATATTCCATGCAACAGAAGCAGAGGGGCTTTGCCAAACTCTTTCTTTGAGGCTCCAATAACCTTGATCCCCAAGCCACACAAAGACACAACTAAGAAAGAGAACTTCAGACCACTATCCCTCATGAACATTGATGCAAAACTACTCAATAAAATACTGGTAAATCAGATACAAGAACAAATCAAATCAATCATTCACCACGATCAAGGGATGCAGGGATGGTTCAACATATGAAAATCCATCAGTGTAATCCACCATATAAACAAGCTGAAAAACAAAAATCACATGATCATCTCACTAGATGCAGAAAAAGCCCTTGACAAAATCCAACACCCATTCATGATAAAGGTCTTGGAGAGATCTGGGATATCAGGGACATACCTAAATATAATAAAAGGTATATACAGCAAAACAACAGCCAACATCAAACTAAATGGACAGAAACTCAACCCGATTCCACTAAAATCAGGAACAAGGCAAGGATGTCCACACTGTCCATACCTTTTCAATATTGTACTTGAAGTTCTAGTTAAAGCCATACAACAACAAAAGGAGATCAAGGAGATACAAATTGGAAAGGAAGAGGTCAATCTATCAATATTTACAGATGATATGATAGTTTACATAAGTGACCCAAAGAACTCTACCAGGGAACTCCTACAGCCGATAAATACTTTTAGCAAAGTGGCAGGATACAAGATTAAGTCATAAAATCATTAGCCCTATTATATACAGACGAAAAAAGGGCTGAGAAAGAAATCAGAGAAACATTACCCTTTACAATTGCCACAAACAACATAAAATACCTTAGGGTAACACTAACTAAATGAGTGAAAGACCTACAACTTCTCAAGAACTTTGAATCTTTAAAGAAAGAAATTAAAGAAGACATCAGAAAATGGAAAGATCTCCCATGCTCTTGGATAGGAAGCATCAATGTAGTAAAAATGACAAACATGCCAAAAGCAATCTACAGATTCAATGCAATCCCCATTAAAATACCAGTACAATTCTTCACAGATCTTGGAAGAACAATACTCAATTTTATATGTAAAAACAAAAGACCCAGCATACCCAAAACAACCTTACTCAACAAAGCAACATCTGGAGGCATCACCATCCCTGACTTCCAGCTCTATAATAGAGCTATAGTCCTGAAAACAGCTTGGAATTGGCACAAAAATAGACAGTTAGCCCAATGGAATTGAATTGAACAACCTGATATTAACCCATACTTGTATGAACATCTGATCTTCAACAAAGAAGCTAAAAATATACAGTGGAAAAAACAAAGCATCTTCAACAAATGGTGCTGGCATAACTGGATGCTGGCAAGTAAAAGAATGTGGATAGATCCATGTCTATTGCCATGTGCAAAACTTAAGTCCAAATGGGTCAAAGACCTCAACAAAAACCCAGCCACACTGAACCTTTTAGAAGAAAATTGAGTGGTACCCTTGAACGAATTGGTATAGGAGACAGTTTCCTGAATATAACACCAGTAGC